GGGGACACACCTGGGTGGGACAGGGACACACCTGGACGGGTGAGGGACACACCTGGGTGGGACAGGGACACACCTGGGTGGGGCAGGGACACACCTGGGTGGGACAGGGACACACCTGGGTGGGGCAGGGACACACCTGGGTGGGACAGGGACACACCTGGGTGGGTGAGGGACACACCTGGGCGGGGAGGGGACACACCTGGGGGGGGGACACACCTGGACAGGTGAGGGACACACCTGGGTGGGACAGGGACACAACTGGACAGGTGAGGGACACACCTGGGTGGGACAGGGACACAACTGGACAGGTGAGGGACACACCTGGGTGGGTGAGGGACACACCTGGATGGGTGAGGGACACACCTGGATGGGGAGGGACACACCTGGGTGGGGCAGGGAAACACCTGGGTGGGTGAGGGACACACCTGGGTGGGGAGGGACACACCTGGGTGGGGAGGGACACACCTGGGTGGGTGAGAAATGGGATAGGGACACACCTGGGTGGGGCAGAGACACACCTGGGTGGGATAGGGACACACCTGGATGGGTGAGAAATGGGATAGGGACACACCTGGGTGGGGCAGAGACACACCTGGGTGGGATAGGGACACACCTGGATGGGTGAGGGACACACCTGGGGGGGATGGGGACACACCTGAATGGGTGAGGGACACACCTGGACAGGGAGGGACACACCTGGGTGGGTGAGGGACACACCTGGACAGGTGAGGGACACACCTGGGTGGGTGAGGGACACACCTGGACAGGTGAGGGACACACCTGGATAGGAGGGGACACACCTGGATGGGTGAGAAATGGGTGAGGGACACACCTGGACAGGTGAGGGATGGGATAGGGACACACCTGGGTGGGTGAGGGACACACCTGAATGGGTGAGGGACACACCTGGGTGGGTGAGGGATGGGATAGGGACACACCTGGATGGGGTGGGACACACCTGGGTGGGACAGGGACACACCTGGACAGGTGAGGGATGGGATAGGGACACACCTGGATGGGATAGGGATACACCTGGGTGGGTGAGAAATGGGTGAGGGACACAGCTGGACAGGTGAGGGACACACCTGGGTGGGTGAGGGACACACCTGGGCGGGGAGGGGACACAGCTGGGTGGGGGAGGGACACACCTGGATGGGGGGGACACACCTGGACAGGTGAGGGACACACCTGGGTGGGGAGGGACACACCTGGGTGGGTGAGAAATGGGATAGGGACACACCTGGGTGGGGCAGAGACACACCTGGGTGGGACAGGGACACACCTGGATGGGTGAGGGATGGGATAGGGACACACCTGGACAGGTGAGGGACACACCTGGGTGGGGGGGACGCACCTGGGTGGGACAGGGACACACCTGGACAGGTGAGGGATGGGATAGGGACACACCTGGGTGGGTGAGGGACACACCTGAATGGGTGAGGGACACACCTGAATGGGTGAGGGACACACCTGGACAGGGAGGGACACACCTGGGTGGGTGAGGGACACACCTGGGTGGGTGAGGGACACACCTGGGTGGGTGAGAAATGGGTGAGGGACACACCTGGGTGGGACAGGGACACACCTGGACAGGTGAGGGATGGGATAGGGACACACCTGGATGGGGTGGGACACACCTGGGTGGGTGAGGGACACACCTGAATGGGGTGGGGCACACCTGGGTGGGACAGGGACACACCTGGGTGGGACGGGGACACACCTGGACAGGTGAGGGACACACCTGGATGGGGGGGGACACACCTGGGTGGGGGGGGACACACCTGGATGGGATAGGGACACACCTGGACAGGTGAGGGATGGGGTGGGGTATCTCAGGTGCCCCCCAGGTGCGCCCCGGGCCTGACCAGGTGTGCCCCGCGCAGCCGCACAGGTGAGTGCCGCCCCGTGTGCCGCCAGGGCTGCGCCAACGGCACCTGCGTGGAGCCGGACAGGTGCCGCTGCCACTTCGGCTTCGTGGGCGCCGACTGCGCCGTGCCCTGCGCCTGCAACGGGCACAGCGACTGCGCCGGGCCAGGTGCGCGCCACACCTGCCTGCGCTGCTTCAACAACACCCAGGTGAGGCA